ATTCTAGATCTTCGTCATCCATCTCAACGTACGCTATTCTCTCTCTCTTGTGAGTTTTCGTTGCCTTAGCTTTTTCAGCTTTGAGGCGTTCGACCTGTCGAACTCTATCGGCCAGTTGGGCCATGTCTCTTAGATACTGGGTGTCTAGCTTCTTCCTAATGGAATAATCTAAACCGCCTGCGGCTATTTCGACCAACTCATGTTCTGGCACTTGTGTAAAACATCTCGCCTTGAGCAACCTAAACCTATTCAGATATTCGTCTATAGGTTCAGTGAAACGTCTCTTCACACTGGCCAGTTCTTTCAGGCTTATCTTGGTTTGCCCCATGTAGAATTGTTCATGGAACAATCTTTCCAACTGGGTCCAATGATGGATCGAATTGGGGGGGAGAGTTGTAAACCAAGTAAAAGCGTTCTTGGTTAAAGAACTTGGGAAGTACTTGATCCTTAGGTTTTCGTTATTCGAAATGTCTCCTGCTTCGATCAAGTATCTCGCCACATGCTCGACAGTAGATTCTGTCGTGTCCCCAGAGAACTTAGTAAATTTGGGGACTTTGCATCTAGGAGGTAAATCCGTTTGTAACACGTATTCTGACAATGGAGATGTAAAGTTGGGCCTTCGAAAGCCCATGTTCATCCCATTCTGAGTCATGATTCTTTCGATCATGGTTGCCAGATTGTTTTCCAAACCCATGTTTTGGTATTGGATATGATGAACCACTTCGTCAGCATTTTGGTTTCTGTTAACTAACCTTACCTCTGGGGCTACTACCCTAGGTTCTTCGACAGGTTGTTCGACAGGCTGTTGAGCCTGGTTAATGGTGGTTTCTTCCTCTACAAATATCCCCTGATTTCCCCTTATTTGCGCCCTTTGGGGCTGTCGAATAGGTGGGGGTACTCCAAAGAAGTCAGCCAAACGCGTCATTTGCGCTGTAACTTGCTGATTCGACTGAGTAGTGTTTTGTATTAGAGGATTTAGCACTGTACTCAAAGTTTGTGCCAACATTTGCACCATATCATGGTTGCTTTCGTCCATCTGTTGCCTCAAGACTGCTGTCGAGGCATTTGTAAGGCCATGGGCTACTTGGGACGTTCCTCCTAAGAGTTGGGTCCTATTTCTATTCGCCATGCCTACTCCAGAGCCTTGGAGTGGCGAAGAGGCACTCACGAAAGGGTCTGAAAAAGTGGACGCAACATTCGTCAGGCTTGCCACTTCAGAAGTTGGCATGCCATAGAATGGAATGAATCCTGGGGGAACCACAGGCCTTGTGCCTATATTTCCCCTTGGTGGGGGAGTTCCCAAAGGTATTCTGGGGCCTGTTAACGAATTTATTGGCCCCGTGGTTGTGACCGACACTGCTGGTGTCGAACCAACGTTTGTCGCTTCACTTACGGTCATATTAACCGTTGCTCCCGCACTCGTTTGTGGAATTTCGTTATTGTTTGGCGGATTCGCCATCTCTTCCCTTCTTCTGGCAGTATTGTTATCGTTAGTGTATATTCTACCACTCCTCAATAACATACAACTCGAAAAGATGAGAGTATTTTCAACAATCAACACACAGTCCCACCGGGTGTGCCAATTTGTTTACCTTGGGTTTTGGTAAACAACCGCTGATCCTCCAAATGGTTACTTATTTGGTTACTCGCAGGATCGATCAGATTGATCCTATGGACATAGGTTGATTTTGAAGTTTGGTTAAGGTGGATAAGGCTTTAAATTAAAAGGTTTCAAGTAAATTGCATAAAGGAAAGACTTGGTAAAATAAACAAAGCTTAAAGGTAAAGGTTCGACAGGAAATGTAAAGAGAAAAGCAAGTAAAATTCTGGGAAAGTAAATGACTTTAATTGATAAAATTGGTGTTTCACACATACATTTCTCAACAATTCTTTCTCACACGCTGGGTACTTGAATCTAAATGAGTGACTATGTATATAATTGTGAACACACGCGAGAAACTACATGTCTACTCCTATTTATACTAAAACATTCCAAGTAACCGTCGGGCAGTTACACTGCTTCGAGATCAATCCACTTGGCACGTTCTCCATGCTCGACGCTCCAGATCCTTGCACGTTTGCACGTAGTAACTGCTGGAAACCGTTTTCCCTCCAAAGCTTTGAATTTCAAACTGCTCCACTCTGGACCATCGAACACTTTCATCAAGAGACGTCTTCGACGAAAACTCCTTCGATGTCGAAGGCAACCAGCCTTCTTCCTTGGAAGAAATCTTCTAAGTATTTTGCCATCTTTCGACGAGCACTTCGACAGGCTTAGCCAGTCGAAAGCATCTTTCAGCTTTAATGGCTGATATCAATCAAAAACAAAGGTGTCGAATTTAGGAGCCAACAACATGCAAGAAAAAATTATGCAGAAACTTGTTTTTCAAGACTTTGGTCAATTTTAAAATGATTTTTAATGGTTCATAAAACCCCTAATACAAAAGAGTGCCACAAGACATAGAGATACCGTCCAATATATAGAAACGCTAAGTTTTCTTAGTTTTGACATCATTCAAAATATCTAATGGTGAAGTTGTACTTACAATTCAAAGTTCCATTTTATGCAATCAAGATCAATGAAGGGCTAGAAGTTGTTCACTATAGCACTCAGAAACAACTTGCAGATGTTCTGACTAAAGTTATTAAGACTAAATACTTTATCCATTTGAGAGATAAAATTGGTATTGTTGATTTTATTCTTGAATATGGATTAAGGGATAGTGTTGAGTGTAATCCAAATTCAACACAATTTAGTTTTAATTCTTGTGCATTTGGAATGTAGTATATAAATACCGAAGCTTGTTCAGTTTGTAAGAATTGAGAATTCATTTGTAACTGTTTTCATTTTGAGAAATTTGTTTAAAAGATTAGTTACACTATTTTCTCACTTCTCTCTCTTCTTCCATCTTCATCTTCAATCTTGTACATCAATAATAATCATCATTCTTATTGAACAGAAGATCTAGAATTGACATTTAGGATAATAGTCGAAGTCCCCCTCCTTAAATATGTGTGATCAAACAAAGTTATCATACTTTTTGTTCGACTTTTTTCCAGAGTGTTTTAAGTTTTTGCACACTCACCTCAAATACTTCAAATTTTCTTATAATATTTTCGCATTTTTCACATTCTTGCACAATTTTATTAAGGTATTTGCAAGATTTAATTGTTTAATATTGAATAAAAAAAGAAAACAATTAAATGTAATTTTATATTTTAATCCAATTAAATCAAATTTAAATTTAAATTTAAAACAAATATAATATAATTCTTCAATTAATTTTGACAATGCTTAAACTAATCTTAATTCATAGATAATATATGATAAAAAATTCTGTTCTAATTAAATATTTGCCCTAATAGATTTTGGCTTAATTGTAACTTTGATCCTTTTATTTTATATTTTTTATTTATTTTTGTTTCTCCATTTTAAAAATCATGATTTTAGTTCTTTTTAAAGTTTTTTTTTTAAAAATGAACAAAAATAAAGATTAATATTATATAAAAAATAAAATAGGAGATAAAAATTACACATAAAACTTAAAAAAGAAATAAAATAATAATTTTTAAAATGAGAAATTAAAATCGAAAAAAATACAAAATAAAAAGACTAAAATTACAATTAAACTCAGAATTTTATTATAAGATCATTGAATTTAAAATGAGAAATTAAAATCGAAAAAAATACAAAATAGAAAGACTAAAATTACAATTAAACTCAAAATTTTATTATAGAATGTAAAGTAGATATGAGATACATGTTTTTCTACACATTATTTATCAAAATTATTAAACATTTATAATTAAATTTAATTGTATGATGTAGTATCTACGTAACTACACGTCTATTGGCTTATTAACCGATAAGAGAAAAGTAAAGAAAATTATTAAAAACAAAAATAGAATTTCGAGAACGTGTTTTTTCTTTAATTTTCTGACTCATCTGACTATAGTGCTGAGAATCAACCCAATAATGAGTATTTTTCTTTTAAAAAAACACCAATAATGAGTTCCAAAAAACAGAAAAAGAAAAAACAAGAAAGGAAAATGCATAAAAAGACTAAAAAGCCAGAAAAGGCAAACGTATCAAACAAAATCCACATTAATTAATCCTTACCGTAAATACCAAACATTTCATATCATTATCATTATTTACCCAGCTCCCACCGACGCTTCTGAGCTGGACCCCACCTAACAACCGGAACATCCGGTTCCCGTGTCCTCTTCACAACAGAAAAGGAAACCATCAAGAAGAAAGAAAATCACATCACCGTAAACCGTACGCATAGTATCCTAACAAAAATTCACATAATCTAACTCGTTAAATCATCTCAATTAATAAAAATATAATGTGATTCAAATCTACAATAATAAAAATAAGAGTCGGATTGAAATTCACTGTATCAAATAAAAGTGTAATTTGAACTCGAGATATTCTATTTTTTTCTTTTTTATCTCACACTACTAAAAAAAATTAAAAAAATTCTACTTTTCATCTCACACTACTAAAAAAGATAAAAAATTCACACAAACCCACCCTCTATTCTTTTCTTTCAGACATCTATTTCTCCGGTACCTACCAATAGTATCTTTAACTTTCATCTTTCTCTCTCCTTTCCCATTCCCAACAATTTCCACAGATCTGAGACACTGTTCGCGCCACCATTGACCTTTCAACTTCCCTTCTTCTTCTTCTTCATTGGTCGTTCTTCCTGTAGAACTGAACCTACCTAATCGGAGCTCCATACCCGGATCTAGAAAGTAGAGGTAAGCTTCGAGGATTTGTCTCTGTATTGACTCTTGAATACTTGAATTGAATTTCAATTGAACGGTTATTAGGATTTGATTTTGATTTGATTTGATTTGATTTTCAACTCTAAGAAAATCAGTTAATTCAAATCGGTTATAACCGTTTCGTGAAATCGTAGTAGCTCAGAGTGAGTTTGTAACTAATTGATTTGATTAGAAGTTGAAGATCGGAGAAGGATTCTTGAAGTATGGCTTCGAGTACGATTCGGAAAGCGATCGGTGCGGTGAAGGATCAGACGAGTATTGGAATTGCGAAGGTGGCGAGTAACATGGCGCCGGAGTTGGAGGTGGCGATTGTGAAGGCGACGAGTCATGATGAAGATCCGGCGAGTGAGAAGTATGTGAGGGAGATTTTGAACTTGATGTCTTATTCTCGTGGTTATGTGAACGCTTGTGTGTCAGCGGTGTCGAAGCGGTTGGGGAAGACGAGGGATTGGATTGTTGCGTTGAAGGCTTTGATACTGGTTCATCGTTTGATGAATGAAGGGACGGTGGTTTTTCAGGAGGAGATTTTGTATGCTACTAGGAGGGGGACTAGGTTGTTGAATATGTCGGATTTTAGGGATGAGGCGCATTCGAGTTCTTGGGATCATTCGGCTTTTGTTAGGACGTATGCGATGTATCTTGATCAGCGGCTTGAGTTGATGTTGTTTGATAGGAAGAGTCTTGGTGGTGGTGGTGGTGGGGGTTCTGGGAGTGGTAGCGGTGGGGATGATAGATTTGGTGGGAGGGAAAACTTTAGATCTCCGCCGAATGAATATGAGTATGGAGTTAGAGGGGATGGTGGGAGTGGGATGAGGAAGACGAGATCGTATGGGGATATGGCTGATGCGGCGGGGCAGGATGATAGAAGGATTGTTACTGTTACTCCTTTGAGGGATATGAAGCCCGAGAGGATTTTCGGTAAGATGGGTCATTTGCAGAGGTTATTGGATCGTTTCTTGTCTTGTAGGCCTATCGGGTTGGCTAAGAACAGCAGGATGGTTTTGGTTGCTTTGTATCCGCTTGTTAAGGAGAGCTTTCAGCTGTATGCGGATATATGTGAGGTTTTGGCTGTGTTGCTTGACAAATTCTTTGACATGGAGTACCCTGATTGTGTGAAGGCCTTTGATGCTTATGCAAGTTCAGCTAAACAAATTGACGAGCTGATTACCTTTTACAATTGGTGTAAAGATAGTGGTTTAGCAAGATCCTCCGAGTACCCAGAAGTTCAGAGAATTACTAGTAAGTTGCTGGAGACGTTGGAGGAGTTTGTGAGGGATAGGGCTAAGAGGCCTAAAAGTCCAGAGAGGAAAGAGGAAGCTCCCAAAGTGGAAGTACAAGAGGAGGAGCCGGTACCAGATATGAATGAAATTAAGGCATTGCCTGCACCTGAGAATTATACCCCGCCTCCTCCTCCGCCTGTACCAGAGCCTGAACCAAAGCCACAGTTTACGGAAGACTTGATGAATCTGAGAGAGGATGCAGTCACTGCAGATGACCAGGGTAATAGATTTGCTTTGGCACTCTTTGCTGGTGCACCGGCGAATAATGCCAATGGATCGTGGGAAGCCTTTCCATCAAATGGACAGCCAGAAGTAACTTCAGCTTGGCAAACCCCTGCTGCAGAACCAGGGAAAGCTGATTGGGAATTGGCACTGGTAGAGACAGCCAGCAATTTATCAAGGCAGAAAGCAGATTTAGGTGGTGGGCTAGATCCTTTATTGTTGAATGGTATGTATGATCAAGGAATGGTCAGGCAGCATGTCAGCACTGCCCAACTTACTGGAGGGAGTGCAAGCAGTGTGGCATTGCCGGGAGCGGGAAAGACCACTACACCTGTTTTAGCTCTTCCGGCCCCAGATGGATCTGTGCAGCCAGTTAATCAGGACCCATTTGCTGCATCTTTGAACATTCCACCTCCCTCCTATGTGCAAATGGCCGAAATGGAGAAGAAACAGCAATTGCTTGTGAATGAGCAGCAACTGTGGCATCAGTATGCAAGGGACGGGATGCAAGGCCAAACTAGCTTGACAAAATTGAACGGTACTGGATACTACGGTGGAGGTCCTATGCCTTATGGAATGCCCCCGGCCTATGGAATGGGACCTCCAAACGGGTATTACCATACTCCTCTCTGATTCAATCTCCCTTTCCTTTTTTGCCACATATCTATAGGTTGTTTCGTTTATTTGTTACTATGACAGTGTTTTCCTTTATTTTAAAATGGTGTCTTGTTATTCTTGAGATCTGCATTTAGTTCATGGGATGCAAAGGAGACAGTGGGAGGAGACGATTTCTTGTTTGGTTTTGATGCAGGGAGATGTGTAACTCAATTGTGATGTCTCTGTGTGTAATAGTATCATTTTCTTCTTGATTTTATACTTTCAAGTTATTCTTGCTCCTCTTAAAAAACAATCGTTTAACGGCTGTAAATTTTATAAAATTATGGTTGCTGATGATATCAATTGGTTATGCATATTTCCAACTTATGTTAACAGTCTTAGCTGCTTATTTGTAAACTTTTACACACTAAAGTAGTAGAATACTCCTGAACTGATTCTGGCTAGTTCTTGCACGAGGTTGTTGGTTGTAGAATGAAATCCTTATTTTGTTAGCCACGCACCTTTCGTTTTAAAATATTCAATTCTTGTTCGATTGTTTTAAAATATATCCAAAGTAGTAGTTTTTGTTTGTAAGCTTTGTAAATAAATAATCATGGCAATTATTCTGATATTTTGATTTATGACTTGAATTAAATATTTTAAAGTTTGTAAGTGGTAATTCATAATTTCTTCATGTCATTTGTTTTTTTCTTTTTTATTTTGAAATCTATGATTTTGTTTGTAATTTATACTATTTTCTATGATTTATATAATAATATTTGATTCTTGATTCGAGAAAAGTCTCCCCTTTCTAAAATAAATTGGTAACTATGCTGATTACATATATGCTTATTTGATCTTATAAGTCGATATAAATAGTTATGTGAAATCTAGGTTAATTCGAACCGGACTCACAATTGTGATAATGGTTAGTTTCTATTCGTCTCAGCCAAGATAAAAAAAAAGGGCATTGTAGAAAAATCAATATATTGATGTAACTAGTGAGAGAAATTTGCCGAAATATCTTAAAAGATATATATTAAAATAATTTTATACTATCAATCAATTACAATCATGTTTAATGATAAATTATATTATTATTTTTAAATAAATTATATAACATAGTTAAATGATAAAAAAAATTTAATGACTATGTAAAACTATTTTATATTATTAATGTACTATTTTTTAACTCTATATTATAATATTACGCCTAATTTTGGCAATGTGGCATAAATTTTGTATGGTAGTGTTCACTACCCCCATATGAAGTGATCACACATCTTATAAAAGTTTTAAAATGTTATTCATATATTGTGTATTTCCAGATTCGAATGTATTATACATCAAATCACTTCATCCACATCTCCATTTTTGTCATAAAAAAAGAGTTTGAATTTTAATATTTGGATAAATCCTATGCATTGTTTGTTAATTCATCTGTGTTGTGTTTCCTCACAATGTGCTGAATTCAAATTTTAAAATTAGGACAAATATGATTTTTCACTTCTAAACAATAAGTTAGAAGAATTTTTTTCATTTTTTTAATGAATCTTACATTATAAGTCATTTATAAATCAATTCTATAATAAATCATACTTATTTGTTATTTAATATTAAAATTAAATATTTAAACAAAATATTGATAAATCATACATCAATGTTTATAAAATAGAATGAATCATAATACAAAACTTCAAAATGGTAATATCAAAAGAGAGTGTTTAATAGAGATGTACTGACAAAGTAAAATAATTTTACACTCCCATCCAATAGAAATATATCATTTTGTCATGTCATATAAGTAGTTTAAACATTGTAGTTTGATTTGGCGAGATATACCATGATTATTGATTGATAGTATAAAATTAATTTACATTGTTAGTGTATATCCTATTTTCTCATATCAAAATAAAAGTAATAGATAACTACTATGTATGTCTAAAGTCCACGTTTCTCTTATATCTCTTATACTACAATGTATGTTGTGCCTCAGCTAAGATGATATATAGAGTGACCCTCTTAGAAGTGTGTTGTACCCCAAAATTTTCCCTCTCACTTATCAAGAATTTACTCACGATCTCCTTTGATTCAAGACTGCACTAGAGTTGATGAGCTCAAGACATCTCCTTAAGCACTGATGACCAAAATTAGGGTTTGAGTTTGCAGAAGGACATTTGAACTTTCAATTCTTCATATGACTTTCATGGATCATTATGGACCCTCAAGATCACTCATGTCAAGTTTCAAGCTTTGGATCACATTTTTGCCCAGTCAATTGAGCAGTTGACCTAAAAATCAATTGTATTTGAGAAAAAATCAATCATGGTCAATTTACAATCAAACTTCATAATTTTTTATCCATACCAACATTTTAAACTTATATGTATCATTTGATCAAGTTTGGACCACAACTCCTCAAGAAATTTGATCAAATCTCCAAAAGGGCAAAATGGTCAAAATTAGGGTTTTGACTGGGAAAGGGCAATTTCTGATTTTTGACCTAGCAAATGGTCAATTGGTTTAAGGCATAATCTCAAGAGTCCAATTGCATCATTTTGACCTAATGGCATGGTTCAAAACATTGCAAGTCCATTGGATTGACATATGAATTTCCAGTCAACTGATCAAAAGTCAACTGTATACTGAAAAGTCAAAACTTTGACTTTTTGGTCAAATTCAAGTGCCAAAGATCATAATTCATCAAAACATGTCAAAATATGAAACTTATTCATCAAGAAATCAAAAAGTCAAGATTTCATTTTGAAAAGTCAAAATTTCTAAACTTAGAAAATTGTCTAAGTGTTGGAAATTTCATGTTTTTTTATAACTTTGAACAAAAATTTCACCATGATGCAAGATGATTCAAGAGAAACTTCCAACATAAAAGTTGTAGATCTCCATGAAATCTACAACTTTTCTTTACACAACTCCTTCCAAAAATGCTTAGATCTCAAGTTATAATTTTATGAACATGTGGTCATGAAACTAAACACTTAGTGAAATTTTGCCCTAATTTGGTCAGGATTTTGACCCAACTTCATGGCACTTTTTCATATAGTTCCAAGGGAAATCATCAAAAGAAATTCAAAGATGGGTTGTAGAGCTTTTGGCTCCTAAATTCGACACCCATGTTATTATCATATAGACCATTAATTATGAGTCAGAAGAGTTTCCTACATAAGGAGGCTTCGACAAACTAATCATGTCGATGGCTCATCAAAGAGTGACAAGATACTTAGAGAAATTCCTTTAAGTTGGAATCTTGTTGTCTTCGACGTCGAAGAAACCTCTCGACGAAGGTCCTTGATGCCCAAGGTCGAACGGTTTGAGATTTGAATTGTTGGAGGGAAAACGGTTCCCAGCAGTTACCAAGTGCAACGTGTCGAGAACATAGGCGTCGAAGGTTATGAGCGTGCCATGTGGCGTCATCTCGAAGCGGTGTAACTGCCCAGCGGTTATTTAGGATTTTTCTTAGTATAAATACTAAGTTTTTATGTAGTTTTTAGTGTTTTCATCATTTTATACAAGTCACTCATTTAGATTCAAGTACCCAGCGTGAGAGAAAGAATCATTGAGAATGTATGTGTGAAACACCACTTAAATTAATCAAAGTCTTTTATATTCAAGCAATTTACCGTTGTTCATTTATTTACCTTCGTCGAAGCCTTTTGTTTAACAATTCCTTAACGCTTTTATTTATTCTATCAAGCTTTTCTCCATGCAATTTATTTAAAGTGTCTTATTTTACTGGCATTAATCACCATTAGGGTTAGTCAAACTCCAAAAATCAACCATGTCTTAGGATCAATCTGATCGATCCTGCTAGTCACCAAATAAGTAACCTTTTGGAAGATCAGCAGTTGTTTACCAATTTTCAGGGTAAACAAATTGGCACACCTGGTGGGACCTTGTGTTGATTTTCTCACGATTAACCTTTTTATATAAAATATCCTCCTTTTTCGAGAGTATTGCATGTTATTGAGAAGTGGTAGAATATACACCAACGAAACCAATACTAGGAGAAGAAGTGAAGAAATGGCGAATCCGCCAAACAACAGAGAAATCCCACAGACAAACGTGGGAACAACGGTTATCCCAACCGTAAGTGAAGTGGTAACCGCTGGTTCAACGCCAGCAGTAACGGTTACACAAACGGGGCCATTACCTCCATTTACAGGCCCCAGAATGCCTTTGGGAACTCCCCCACCAAGGGGAAACCAAGGAACTAGGCCATATGTTCCCCCAGGTTTTTCGACAGTTGGTTTAAATCGAGAACCACCCTATGGCATGCCAACTTCTGAATTGGCTAGCCTGACGAATGCTACGTCCACTTTTTCAGATCCTTTAGTGAGCGCCTCTTCGCCACTCCAAGGCTCTAGGGTTGGTATGGCGAACAGGGGTAGGACCCAACTCTTAGGAGGAACGTCCCAAGTAATGCATGGCCTTACGAATGCCTCGACAACAGTCTTGAGGCAGCAAATGGACGAAAGCAACCACGACATGGTTCAAATGTTGGCGCAAACTTTAAGTACAATGCTAAATCCTCTAATACATAATACCACCCAGTCGAATCAACAAATGACAACGCAAATATCGCGTCTGGATGACTTTTTTGGGGTACCCCAACCTATTCGACAGCCTCAAAGGGCACAAATAAGGGGGAATCAAGGCATACTTCTAGAGGAAGAAACCACTATTAACCAAGTCCAGCAGCCTGTCGAAGAGAACCTTAGGGTAAAAATGGAGCAACCCGGGGTCAAAGAGCCTAGAGTTATAGCCCCGGAAATAAGGATGGTTAATAGAAACCAAAACGCTGACGAAGTAGTTCAGCAGATCCAATACCAGAATGTTGGTTTGGAGAATAATTTGACAGCCATGATCGAAAGAATCATGATGCAAAACGGGATGAATACGGGCTTCCGTAGGCCCAACTTTACATCCCCGTTGTCGAAATATGTGTTACAAACGGACTTGCCTCCTAGATGCAAAGTCCCTAAGTTCACTAAGTTTTCAGGGGACACCACAGAATCCAC